CTCGAGATCAGCAGCTCGCCCTCCTCCGTGCCCACAAAGGCCAGCTTCTGCTGCACCGTCTCTGCTGCTGCGTTCCTGCGGTGCGTGTGAGAGTAAGTACAGGGAGAGACACATGACGACTCGAGATCAGCAGCTCGCCCTCCTCCGTGCCCACAAAGGCCAGCTTATGCTGCACCGTCTCTGCTGCTGCGTTCCTGCGGTGCGTGTGAGAGTAAGTACAGGGAGAGACACATGACGACTCGAGATCAGCAGCTCGCCCTCCTCCGTGCCCACAAAGGCCAGCTTTTGCTGCACCGTCTCTGCTGCTGCGTTCCTGCGGTGCGTGTGAGAGTAAGTACAGGGAGAGACATGACGACTCGAGATCAGCAGCTCGCCCTCCTCCGTGCCCACAAAGGCCAGCTTTTGCTGCACCGTCTCTGCTGCTGCGTTCCTGCGGTGCGTGTGAGAGTAAGTACAGGGAGAGACACATGACGACTCGAGATCAGCAGCTCGCCCTCCTCCGTGCCCACAAAGGCCAGCTTTTGCTGCACCGTCTCTGCTGCTGCGTTCCTGCGGTGTGTGCGGGTGCAAGAATAAGGAGAGGCATGACGACTCAGATGCCACCCAGCTGCTCCACCGCTTGAGGCAGCGTGGCGGGGAAGAGGGAGCGCATGCAGGCAGGCAGGAAGCATGCAGCGGATTGAAACAGAGAGTTCAGCAAGTTCACAGGGCGCACCTCTCCCCTAGCCTTACCTGTCCGCGGACCTCACCTGTCGCCCACGTTAATCCGCACAGGGTCATGCATCACTGAGCGTGCCAGCTGCTCGACGGCTTCCGGCAGCGTGGCGGAGAAGAGGGAGCGCGTGAGGGCGGGGAGGGGGCACCGTGCATGCAGAGGCTGGGACCGAATAGCTGGAATTAATCCCCAAAGCTTTCTTCCCAACGCGTTTGTTCCAACGACGTACCTGTCCCCTAGCCTTACCTGTCCGCAGGCCTCACCTGTCGCCCCCAACGATCCGCACGGGGTCATGCACGACCGATCGCGCCAGCTGCTCTACCGCTTCCGGCAGCGTGGCAGAGAATTGGGAGCGCGTGAGGGCGGGGAGCGCGTGAGGGCGGGGAGCGCGTGAGGGCGGGCAGGGAGCATGGTACGCGCGCAGTGGCTAGCAGCGACTGGAAAAGATGGCCTTCAGAACGCACCTGTCCCCAACGACAATCCGCACAGGGTCATGCATGACTGATCGTGCCAGCTGCTCAACAGCTTCAGGCAGCGTGGCGGAGAAGAGGGAGCGCGTGAGCGCGGGCAGGGAGCATGCCGCCACGACGCCGTCAATCTGCTCCACGAAGCCCATCTCAAAGAGCTTGTCCGCCTCGTCCAACACCAGGTGCTGCACCCTGTGGGTGGGGGAAAGCAGACAGAGAGTGAGGGTTAGGGTGAGAGCTAGTGGGGGTGCAGACCCATCGATCTGCCCCACAAAGCCCATCTCAAAGAGCTTGTCCGCCTCGTCTAACACTAGGTGCTGCACCCTGTGGGCGGGGGAAAGCAGACAGAGAGTGAGCGTCGGGTCAGGGTGAGAGCTAGTGGGTGGGGGTGCATGCCGCCATGACCCCGTCGATCTGCCCCACAAAGCCCATTTCAAAGAGCTCGTCCGCCTCGTCCAACACCAGGTGCTGCACCCTGTGGGCGTGCGTGCACACGTGGGTGGAGTGGAGGGGAGGGGTGGAAAGCGATTATGCAGGTTCGTAAGTGGAAGCTGGAAAGGGGAGGGAAATGGGTTCCCTGGATTCAACCAATCTCCTGAGGGAGCGTCAGCAGCAGAAAACAACTCACACGCACTCACCGGCTCAAATCGACTTTCTTCTCAGCCACCAGGTGCGCCAAACGAAGGGGAGTGGAGATGAGGACGTCACAGGCCGCCCCTTTGAGCTCCACGCAGCTGGCAGTGGCTTTGGTCAGCAGCCGCGATCTGAGCTTCGTTCCCGCTGCCAGCTGCTTCAGCGCCCGCGATATCTGCAGTGCAAGTTCCCTTGTCGGCACCAGAACCACTGCTCGGATGGCCTCAGGGGAGTGGGTCTGGCGGCGGGATTAGGCAGGGGGGGAGGGGAACAGGAAGGGGACCTATCGGGTGAGGCTCAATGTATCTGCAGGGCTAGCCCGCGAGTCGGCACCAGAACCACTCCTCGGATGGCATCAGGGGAGTGGGGCTGGCGGCGGGGTTGTTGGGGGGGAAACAGGAAGGTGGCGTCTCGGAGCTCAACGCCTGCACTCTATGAGCAGCGGCAGCTCGAGCGTCGGCCCTACTGGCCCTACAGTCACTGCTCATTTCGCGTGCAGGGACTGAACAGCCTAGAAAGCACCTCACTCGGAAGCGCACAGGCTCACCTTAAGAGCCATGACGATGGGAAGAAGGAAAGCAACGGTTTTGCCCGACCCTGTGGGCGCACAGGCGAAGCACTCCCGCCCCTGCAGCAGCAGCGGCACCGCCTGCCTCTGAATGGCCGTCGGCTGCTCAAACCCCATCTCCTGCAAATTGCACAATATGCGCCGCCGACAGTTGTACCTGGTGGGTGGATGGGATGGGATGGGATGGGATGGGATGGGATGGGATGGGATGGGATGGGATGGGATGGGATGAGATGGGATGGGATGGGATGAGATGGGATGGGATGGGATGGGATGGGATGGGGTGGAATGGGATGGGATGGGATGGGATGGTGAGAGGTGAGTGTCAAGACATGTCGGAACCTGAGAAACAACATTAACAGCAGCATCGCTTACATAGAGTCACAACCCTATTCCTTTAACAGGCAGCCACCCGCTCACTTGTCCGCCAGTTCTTGGAAGGACTCGAGAGGAGCCGTCACCAGGTGGCTGGACACGTGGATGCGATGGCGCTTGCGCAGCACTGCTGCGTGCTGCCACGTGGCGGGGGAAGGGGGAGGAGAAATCGAACGAAACAAAAAAATATTGAATTATGGGAATAAGCTTGGACTTTCCAATAATAGATCACGAAAGTCGTGTGGGAAATTGAGACCCAAAACCTCTCGAAGAGAACGTGAGGGGGCGAGAAAATTCAAGACTTGCGCTCACCGCAACAGGGTCCATCTTCTTCTCCGATGCCTCTCCTCCAGAGGCGCCGGACGCTCCACCATCCGGTCGATCTGAACCGTCAATCTCTGTTTGAGAAGCTGCTGCACCTGCTGTTGTCGTCTGCTCACGCCCCTGCAAGAATTGGAGGAGAAGGAAGCACAGAAATCAGAAATAGGTAAGAAAAAACTCATCCGCGAAACCTGGTAAACCCCGAAAACACCGTATGGTAAAGGCCGAAACCCTCGCTTGTCCCCTGAAGCAATGCCAAGAAGACATATGTGACCAGCGTGACGCATGGTTCCGTAGCCGGCTGGCGACACAGGGTTTCGAGAGGTGTAACGGCTATAGCTCTTGAGGTGCGAAGAGATTTGAGAATCCGCGAAAGTGATATACGAGCATAGCTACTACCGTAACGAGGAGCACCTTGAAAACGTCGATATCCTTTTTGAAACGCTTTCTGTTGATGCTCGTTCCCGCGAACAAAAGCCTCTCGACGTCCATGTCTACTTGCGACAGGCGACCAGCGGGTGTGCGACGAAGTGAACGCGGGGAGATGAAGCGACGGACGCCGTCGGGAGCGGGCTCGCTTGCGCGAAAACCCTCCAACGAGCGTCCGCGAGTCTATGCCGCAAGTAAGAATCCAAGAGCTTTTTGGCTGGGGATTGGAAAAGCGAAGCTACCGATACTAGACTATCGTTGTCACAGAATGATGGCAGTGAACGAAAACAAGGTGTGCTGAAGAAGTGTGCCAACACACCCGTCAGTACAGAGACTTGACGCAGGTAGTAACTCGAATTAACAAGAAATTGAAACACTTCACCTGGTATCGGACTCACCTACTGCCGCGGATAAGTTGATAAGGAGGAGCGATGAGAACAAAAGACAACTTGCAGATGGGAACGTCGCAGCTGTGCTGTGCTAACGACTGGGAAACACCCGAAGAGTTCCCAAGGTCTCGAAAAAGATCGGCGAAACGCTTCGCTGAGGTTCCAGATTGTTCGCTTTTCTGGGAAGTCTTGAAAGATCCGTTTGGTAACCAGTATCGACATATTTCGTCCAGGGAATTGAGTCGCCAAACTGACAGCGCACCTATTCCCGAAGACCTTGCTCCCTCCCTCCTCACTTGACCTCACATGGCCATACTTCAGCAGATTAGGGCTTTGCCTGACAGGACAACTTGTTCATGTTGCTCTTTTTTTTATTAGACAACGGGATTCAGAATCCTTCACCTCCTAACATATTAGATAACCCTTTTTGTGTGCCTGTATCCTCGTTGTTTAGCGGTACTGATGTAGCGAGTTCGTCGGTGTCAAGCTAGTAGTAGGTCAGTACTAGGTAGCATGCACCGTTTCTGATCTAGTATTGCAGGGGTTTTCCAGTAGGCATGTCCCTTTGCCACTTGTTGCCTCTAAGGCTCCTCTTTCTACCACGTGTCGCTCTTTCAAGCCCAGTCTTCCGCAATCTACGCTTCACGCTCCAACCCATCGCATGCCCTTCCGCTCTCTTTCACTCCGACTCTATCCTGCCATACCGTCCCTCCCTTAGTAGTGCTAGCCGCCCTGCCACCCCCTTGACTTCGTTGACTAGCATTACTTCCCCAGCTGTATTTCGCGATTCGAACGATCATAGATACCGCGAACAGGGACAGAAGTTGACCTGCCGGACCGTCAGATTTAACAGTTCAGGCAACGGCTCTGCGGCCGTTTTTTTGGAATCAGTTGCTTCCCCGAATTCGGCTGTTTCCTCGAGATTGCGAGCCTGTGCGGTTTCGCAGAATATATCGCAACTAGCGCCAGGTGCGGAGGGCGCACGGGACGCTTCCACGTGGCCGAAGCATCAGCCAGAGGCCTCCGCGAACGACGGCGGGTTTTCTGCAGCAGCTCCGACAGCATCAGGATCTCCAGAAATTGCGGAGCCGTTTTCTTCAAGAATGTCGACAGAGGACGAGGTGTACGCGTTCGTTAAGGGATCCAGCGACGCGAAAAGTCTTCTATCGGGAATAAAACTTGCTGAGGACAGCGGCAACGTGGTGCTGAGAAGCGACGCGGAAGTTTCTTCTGCCAAGGATGTTGTCGGATTCGATGTGGATAAGTTTTTCAGTGCTCTGTCGACTGACGGACTTGGACGGACGTTGCTGGCCAGCAAACGAATTTCGTCAACTCACACACTTGTATCAAAGTAAGCAGCTACAGTAGGCTACGACCGAACGAGGGGAGGGGTGGGTAGGGTTGAAGGGATGGGACGAGAGTGAAGAAGAATGTGGGAAAGTTTGCTGGGGAGGTGTGCTTGACATTCATGGGTGTGCTGGACGAGGGAGGGAGAGCGCGTCTTGCGACTAGGGGAAAATGTGTGCCGTTGCTCATCCTTCTAAAGGCGTGTGTTGCTGTGCTGCTTTTTTGCATGCTGATGATGATTGGCACATGTTTTCGTGTGTGGTGCTGTGGATTCAATGGATGGCATGCGGTGTTGTTCTGCGTTGATGCGTGCATGGCATGTGTTGCACTTTGTTGAAGTTGCATGATATGAAACATCCATGTTGTGAAGCATGCATGATCTGAAGTATGGTTGATATGAAGCGTGCGTGTCACGATGCACAATGCTGTCATGCGCCATGCTGCTGCACGCATGGATGGATGGATGGATGATGATGTTTTGATGGTGATTTTTCTTTTCAGGAGCTTCGAAACCCTCCCCATAGGCACCGTCTGCATCTCTCGCATTCAATACAGCGGACGAGGTACTTCCGTCATCCCACTCTCCCTCATACTCTTCCTCTTTCCTCACAATCTCCCTCCTCACATCTGCCCCGCTCCCATTCTCCTGTTTCGTCCTTCCATCTGCCTCGTGCATCTCCCTTCAACTCTCATGGTAGAATGTTCCCATCTCGCCCCTCCATTCATCCTCTTTTATGTCACATCAATTGGTACGTGTTTTCATTTCTTATGTCTTTCTAATTCTCCTTACCCCTCCCCGCCCGTCCCCCCTTCCCCCCCTTCCCACCGTCTCCGTACCCCTGCCCGTTCTTTATCTCTCTCTGACTGCTCCACGTGGCAGGGAGGGGAGGCAACACATGGGAGAGCCCTGAGGGTTGCCTCATGTTCTCGCTCTCGCTGCGCTGGATCAACGGGCCAAGAACCACCATACCTGTTCTTACTTGTCTCGAAATAACACTCTATGGCACTCTATGGCTGCCGTCCCTCCCCCCCTCCCCTCCCTGGCAGGGCGAGGAAGCAACACGTGGGAGAGCCCGGAGGGATGCCTCATGTTCTCGCTCTCTCTTCGCTGGATTGACGGTTGAACGAGCACCATGATCTTAGTTGACTTAAATATCCCTTCCCCGACTGCCCCCCTCTTCTCGACCTGGCAGGGCGAGGGGGCAACACGTGGGAGAGCCCGGAGGGATGCCTCATGTTCTCGCTCTCTCTTCGCTGGATTGACGGGCGCACCCTGCCTCTGCTGCAGTATGTTTTGTCGCTGGCAGTGGTGCAGGCGATTGAAGACATGGCCAAGGACAGAGGGGTAGGTGCCTGGTTGGTGTACGAATGAATGACCAGACCAGACGAACAAGCACTCTGCCGGTTATATTGAAATCACGTTTGAGAATTCTCAAAACTGGTTTTTGTATGAATGAATGACCAGACGATCAAGCACTCTGCCGGTGCTGAGACTCGTGCGCAAGTGAATGCCTGAACAATCAAACCGCCTGTTGGTACCGCTGCTGCTGCAGTCTGTGCTGTCGCTGGCCGTGGTGCAGGCGATTTAATACATGGCCAAGGAGAGAGGGGTAGGTTGCTGCTGGTGGTGTGTGTGTGTGTGTGTGGTTGAATTATACGAGCAACCTGAAACAGCTGCCACTGCTGCAGCATGTGCTGTCGCTGGCCGTGGTGCAGGCGATTTAATACATGGCCAAGGAGAGAGAGGGGTAGGTTGCTGGTCCGTGTGAAAATGATTAGCCAATCAAATGAGCACCCTGCTTCTGGTGCTGCATGCATGCATGCATGATCTTTTGAGAATTCTCAAAAGTGATTTCCATGCATGCATGATCTTTTGAGAATTCTCAAAAGTGATTTCCATGCATGCATGATCTTTTTGGGCGGCCAGAAGGTGGCGGCCAGAAGGTGGCGGCGTGCATCCATCCCATCCCAACCTCCCACCTTCCGTATCTCTCTCGTCTCCCATTCCCCTCTTCCTTGCCATGCCAACAGACCAGCCTCCCCCAGGTGGCCCTCAAGTGGCCCAACGATATCTTTCTGGGCGGGCTGAAGGTGGGGGGCGTGCTCTGCACGTCATCCTACCGCAACAGGGCATTTGATGTCACTGTGGGTGAGTGGAGTGAGGGAGTGATTGAGTGGTTGTTGAGTGGGTGGGCGAGGGAGTGTGGGTGGGTGGGTGGATGATGTGTGCAGTGGTTGGGTGAGTGAGTGGGTGGGTGAGGGAGTGAATAAGTGTTACTGTGCACTGGAGCATGGCGTTTGACGTCACTGTGGGTCAATCATAGGAGCGAGTGGGTGAGTGAATGAGTGAGTGAGTGAGTGAGTGAGTGAGTGAGTGGGTGATTGAGGGAGTGAATTAGTGAGTGAGTGAGTTGGTGAGCGAGTGAGTACCGAGTGGGTGGGTGAGTGTGTGAGTGAGCTGCTTAACGAACTGGATTGTAGTGAGGGTGAGTGGATAGATGACTGGTTAGGTGCAATTGCAGTTGAGAGGGTATTATTTACGATTTTCCCACCGTCCTCCCCCACCCCCTCCACCCTCCCCTCTCCCCCCTTCCCCTTCCCACCCTCCCCTCCCCCTGTTTCACAACCTGCACAGGAATAGGTCTCAACGTGGACAACGCCCATCCCACCACGTGCATCAACGCTGCTCTTCACGCTGCCTGCCCCTCCGCCCCGCCTGTCTCCCACGAGGCTCTGCTGGCCGCTCTGCTCAACCGCCTGCACTCGCTGCTCTCCGTCTTTGAACAGCAAGGTGGGATGGGGATGTGGGGGTGTGGGGGGTGGAAGAGGGGGGCTGAGTGCAGGGTGGTGGAATGGGGGATGGGAGGGAGAGGGGAAGGAGGGTGGGAGTTGGGAGGAATGGGGGATGGGAGGGAGAGGGGAAGGAGGGTGGGAGTTGGGAGGAATGGGGGATGGGAGGGAGAGGGGAAGGAGGGTGGGAGTTGGGAGGAATGGGGGATGGGAGGGAGAGGGGAAGGAGGGTGGGAGTTGGGAGGAATGGGGAGTGCTTTGTAGGATGGATGGGGACATTTTAAATACATGTACTTCGATTTTTTTTTCTAGGATGGATAGAGGGAGCAGGTAGAGCTGACATTAGGCCAGAGCCTTTCTTGCTTTGTCTTTTTCTGTACCCACAAGAAGAATTCCCTGACAGAACCATACTTTTGTGTTTGTTCCCATATCACTGCTCTGCTCCCTTTCCCCTGTCTCCCTCCCCCCAATCTCCCTCCCCCACTCTCGCCCCCTACTCTCCCTCCCCCGCTCTCCCTCCCCCTCTCTCCCACGCTCACTCCCTCACTCCCTCTCCCTCTTGCTGTCTCGCCCTTCTTTTCAAATGGTCCTTATCGTTGAATGGTCCTTCTTCCCCTCTTCCTCCCCTTCCACCAGGCTTCAAGCCTCTGGAAGCGGATTATCTTCAACGCTGGCTGCACAGGTACCGTCCCTTCCATTCCGCTCCTCCTGCCCCTCCTCTGTTCTCCCTGCTATCAAATTCCACTCCTTCTCCCCTCCCCTCCCTGATTCTCGCCTCCCCTTCCCTCCCCCCCCCTCTCTTTCCCCAGCTTCTTTGCTTTCTCCCCGCTTGCATTACAATTTCTTGTGTCCTTTTGAGGCGCCTCAAAAGTCGCCTCAAAAGTTTTGAGGCGCCTCAAAAGTCTTTCCCCAGCTTCTTTGCTTTCTCCCCGCTTGCATTCCAACAGCTTGTGTCCTTTTGAGGCGCCTCAAAAGTTTTCTCCCCGGCCATCCAGGCCTTTTCTCCCCAAAAAACGTTTTTGCTTTCTCCCCGCTTGCATGCCAACAGCTTGTGTCCTTTCTGCAAATTCTCGAAAGTGATGCTCTCTGCTTTCCATTCCGATTGCGCTCTTGTGTGAATACCCTCCAATTTTTCCCAATCGCTGCAACTCCCTCATATCCCCAATTCATCTTAACCCCCCGATCCGTCCCTCCCTCTCCTCTTTCCGTTTAACCCCTCCGTTCCCCCCGTCCTCGTACCCCCCCCTCCCCTTCCACCCCCCCTTCCCTCGTCTCCCCCTCCTCCAACCTCCCCTTCCCTCGTCCCCCCTCTCCTCCACTCCCCCCTGCCATCGTCCCCCTCTCTCCTCTGCTGTGCCCTCGTCCCCTTCCCAGTGGGCAGCACGTGGTGCTGGAGGAGCCTAAAGAGGGCGGAGGCACCACCCAGGTCTCGCTAACTATTCAGGTGTGGGTTCAGGTGTGGGTTCACAGGAGAGTGGAGGGATTTAGGCATCGGTGGGGGGAGAGGGTCAGGTGGGGGGTCAGGTGGGGGGTCAGGTGGGGGTTCAGGTGGGGGGTCAGGTGGGGGTTCAGGAAGGTGGGAGTGCATGTGGGGGGTTCATGAATCTTCGACAGAATCTACTCCAGATCCTCTGTTCTGGAGGATCCTCTGTTCTGGAGGATATTCTGTTCTCCTGTCACCCTGCTTTCTTCTGTCGTGGCCCCTTTCCCCTTTCCCCTTTCCCCTTCCCCATTCCCCGTTCCCACTTCCCCCGCTCCTGTTTCCTGCATTCCAAATCATGCACACACACACACGCATGTGTGACGCACAGACCAAGGAATCACAAACACATTGGTGCACCACGTGTACACTCTCGTTTGTCTTCACACCCTCGCCTCTCCCCTTCCCTCTCCCCTCGCCTCTCCCCTCGCCTCTCCCCTCGCCTCTCCCCTCAGCTCTCCCCTTCCCTCTCCCCTTGCCTCTCCTCTCTCCGCTCCCCTCGCCCCTCCCCTCGCCCCTCCCCTCGCCTCTCCCCTCGCCTCTCCTCTCCCCTCGCCTCTCCTCTCTCCCCTCACCCCTCGCCTCGCCTGCTCCGCCCTTCACCTCTTCCTTCGCTCAGGGTCTCACTACGGGTGGTTACCTCCTCGCAACTGATCCTTCGGGAGTACAATACGAGCTCTCCCCAGATGGCAACAGGTCAGTGATGATGGCAGCAGGTTAGTGACTATACAGCGGATGAAGAAGCGTGCCTATTGATCTTCTCCCTTTACTAAATCGTGCCCCCCCTTCCCTCACTTCCCCTCTTTCCCCTCCTTCCCCTCCTTCCCCTCCTTCACCTTCTCCCCGTTCTTACCCTCCTCCTTCTAAGCTAATTATTCACCTTTGTTTGATTACCCTCCTGTGTCCATCACCCTCTCGCTGCATCACCCTCACTCCGTCCCTTCCCCCCCCGCACCAGTCTGGACTTCTTAAAGGCCTCATGCGCCAAAATCCTAACCCGGAGGAGCAGGTGGCAGGGGGGCTTTTGAGTCGACTCTAGAGGAGCAGGTGGCAGGGGGGCACTGACTGACTGGCCATCACTGTCATCTCATCTTATTTCTTCTTGCATCACCCTCACACCTTCCCCCATCCCCCACCACCAGTCTGGACTTTTTCAAGGGCCTCATGCGCCGAAAGCTGAACCCAGACGAGCAGGTGGCAGGGGGGCAATGACAGACCATCACGCGGCAGTTGCTTCCTTTTTCATCACCAGGTGATGGCCCAATCGTCTCAAGAACCTCCACCAACCTCTCTTCCCCTCCTCCCTCCCCCCCCCTCCCCCCCTCTCTCCCCTCTCTGCTCCGCGCCCCTTTCCCCTTCCCACCTGTCTTGGCCTCCCCCCTCTCCTCTGCCACTGCTCCACGTGCTCCTGCCCCTCCCCCACCCCTGGACCTGGCTGCCCCCCGCTTCTTGTCTCGCCCATCTCCCCCTCGCCTCCTGTAGTGCTTGGCCCATGGGATCTTCCTCCGTCACCCCCTCCCGCTCGCTCAGTAAGGCTCTCCTTTCACCTTGTATGCTTTTGCGAAGGCTCTCCTTGCCTTCTTCCATGCCGTGCCGTGCCATGCCATGCCGTGCCATGCCATGCCGTGCCATGCCATGCCGTGCCATGCCATGCCGTGCCATGCCATGCCGTGCCATGCCATGCCATGCCATGCCATGACATGGTAAACCGTGTTGTGGGATGCTGTTCTGCATCATGCCATGCCATGCCATAACCAGTCTCGATAATCCACCAGTCATACATACCATGTCTGCTCACATTTCTTGCTGTAGCCTCTGCTCACATGTCTTGCATCACTCGCACGATCTTCATTGTTGCTTCTAAAGCAGGTGCTCGTGACAAGGATGCTGCCACCAGCCCTACAGTGTACTACCGCCAGTTGCTGCGGGCGATCAGGGCATGTGCAGCGAATGCGGACACAAACCCAGAAGCACTTGGTTCTTCTGCTGGTCTCTCGGCCTCCTCTCTCTCTGCCTCCTCTCTGTCAATCTCCCTCCGAGCCGATTCCTCCAAACCCACCGGTGGTGAATTTTATCCCAAGGCAAAAGCACTAGGTTGGATAGGCAAAAAAAGGTCCACAAGGGCTGGTCCGGCTAGTGATAGGGCTATGAATGAGTCCGAGGGTGAATCTGAACGGTTATTTACCGATCCAGTGCAAGCAAAACTCGTTAGCAATGTTAGGGAGGTGTTTCGGCATGGGGACAGCTTGGGACTAACAGAGGCAGAGAAACGAGCAGCTGTAGCAGCTGCTGCTAGGGTGCTGAAATTCCTGAAGAAAGTCAGTGGGCTCTAGCTGTGAGCAAAACTCACGGAGGTGATTCGTCATGGCTACAGCTCGGTACTAACGGTGTCAGAGAAACTAAGGTGTGGCTGCTGCTGGGAATGGGGCCAATGTTGAAAGAGTATTTCTTCCTACACCTCTTTATCGGAGCTGCCTTCTTTCGGAACTGAGGAATCCTTGTAATGCAACACATACAATACCTGCCACACACACGTGGCAACCAAGACATGACTCCCATACCAGAGCTTGCAAGCCGTGAGTCCGAGCCGTGCCTTACAATCTGCATAGTGTCTGAAACAACACATCCACGTACATTGAGTGAATCACCATGCCCGTTTCCTGTAAGCTCTCTGAGAGTTGTCTGTAACAGCTTATATTTCAGAGCTTAGACTTCCGCATTCTGAAGCATCCATGAAAAAAAAAAAAAAAAACCCTATCTAGGAACGGAATACGCATGACCGTGACCAGCAGGACTACAGAAAGTGTTTGTTACAGTCACATGCAGCACACAGCTACCACCAATTCATTACCACATCATGTACCACGCCCCAGGGGTTGCCTCGTGTTGTGGTCCTAGCATATTGCCAATTCTGCTGCAGTTCCAGGCACTGTTTATCTGGCTGCTGCTAGCTGCTCGAGCACTCCTGTGGCAATGGCAGTAGCATGTGAGATTACAGAGGCTGGCAGTACTGCTTAATGCTTGCGCAGCAACAGTGGTTGTATGGGCTGTGTTGGCCTCTGGTGCAGCAGCGGAAAGTGCAGCTGCTTCCTCCCATGCTCTTGCACCAGCAGCAGCTCCTGCAGCCGGTGCTTCTCTAGGTTAAACACCTGCAGCTGTAGCCTCAGATGGAGCTGTAGCCGCTGTAGGTGCTGCATCTACTGTAGCCACAAATCTGCTGTAGCTGTTGAGACTTTTAGTAGCAACTGCAGTTTCTGTTCCTGTTGCTAATGCTTGCACCCCCCGCATGCTTCTGAAACTGGTAATTTTGCTGTCTCTACTGCACAGGGTGTTGCTACCAATATTGTTGCTTGACGATATGAATCACAAGCTATGTGGCATGCATCTGTGCGTCCATGCACTCGTTCATCCATCCATCCGTCCGTCCGTCCGTCCATCAGTCAGAAGTTCTAGGCAAGAATGATTGGATTGATTAAATGATGGGTACATAAGCTAACCCTAACATTGGGTTGTACCCCATATGGGCTACCCCACTAGCAGCCTACACAAACATAATATACATAGTTTGACACACCCCCATAGGCAAAGTGGGGGAGAACAAGGGGTCACAAGACTAGTCAAGAAAAGCAAAGCAAGCTCAGGGTGGATCACAACATCACCACACACACTGAGCACAAGCAAAGGGCCACAAGGCCAATTCACATGCAGAGGTATATATGCAACAGCAACAGTACAGTGATCACTACCTAGCAACAACCAACATGCAGGTTTATATAGATCACAGTACAAGCAAGGTCAAGAAGTAAGCAAGTGAGGTCTACGAAACCGGCACCAGGCCTAACAGAGTATACAGACGCTGATAATCACCAGACGAAAGCGCCTTGGTGAATATATCAGCAGTGTTGGCCCGAGTGGCCACGTGTGTGAGACGAAGCTGACGACGCTGCTGCAACTCTCGAGCCAGGAAGTAACGCAGAGCGATGTGCTTCGTTATGTGCTCCAGTCTGTGCTCCTGACACAAGGCAATGACAACCTTATTGTTTACGTACAGAACTAAAGGGGAACGAGGCCGCTCTCCCAAGTCGGTCAGCAGGTAGGTGAGTCAGCGTAACTCCTGTGCAGCCATGGCTGTAGCGTAGATCTCAGCCTCACAACTGGAGCTGAGAACAGAAGACGAGCGTGTAGACCACCACGAAGGTCTGGAAGAAGTCAACTCCCTGTCGCTGACTGAAGCCTCGTGCAACGTAACAAGCCTTGAAGACAGGCGGAGAACCCGGCGGCCGCTTCACCCATAAAATCCACATGCCATCGACTATGTTCGCCCAAGGAGGGGGAACCTTGCCGACGTAGGTGCCTGCGGACTTCCAGGATGCCATCTCTGCGTTCATGGTTGCCTGCCACTGAAAGGAGTAGGGACCCGAAATCGCCTCTGCGTAAGAGCGCGGGGTCGGGATGTCCAGTGCATCCAGGTCTCCCTCAGGTGCAAGCAGCCAGGCCACGAGATGAGGTACAGCAGCCGCAAGACACTCAAAGTCCTCCTGCCTATCCTCAAGGACGTCCGTGCCAAGAGGACGGACGAAGGACAGACAGACTCAGACTCAGCAACAAGACTGGCGGCGTAGTCTAGACGACACGCAGCAGCAAAGTCCACAAGCTCAGTGACTAAGGCAGACGCAATAGTAGACTCAAACGACGGGTCAGTGACGACTGTGGCCAGGAGACGCGTGACAGTGGGGCTGGCAGCACGAACCAAGTCAGATGCAGGGTCCGAGACGTCAGGAAGAGAGGACGCAGGAGGAGACGGCAGGGGGACATGTTGCAGAACAGAGGAAGGACAAAGTGCCATAGTGTGAGTACCTGACACAGGAGGAGGACGCGGACGAGGGACACGACGAGCACGGCAAACAAAGCGAACAGGGGAGGCAGGACGAGACGCAGGCTCACGACGCTCTGTAAAGGGCAGCGCGCGGGCTGTAAAGGGCGGCGCGTGGGCTGCAAGGGCGGCGTGCGGGCTGCCAGTGGCGGCGCTGCAAAGGGCGGCGCGCGGGCAGGAAAGGGTAGCGCACGGGTAGGAAAGGGCGGCGCGTGGCAGAAAATGGGCAGTGCGCGGTCAGGGCAGGGCGTGCGCGGGCTGCGCGAGGCAGGCAGGGCGTGCGCGGGCGGCGCAACAGGCCAGGCAGGGCGTGCGCGGGCGGCGCGATGCAGGGTAGGGCTTGGCGTGCGCGGGGCGCTCGGCGCAGGGCTTGGCGTGCGCGGGGCAGCGCAACGCAGGGAAGGGCGTGCGCGGGGCAGCACGACGTAGGGCAGGGCACACGCGGGGCGGCGCAGCGCAGGGTAGGGTAGGGTAGGGCGTGTGCGGGTAGCGCGACAGATGAGGCAGCGCTACTGGCAGCGTGCTAATTGGTGGGCCCTAAAAAAAACAGTCCTGGGACAGGACGTGCTCTGAAACCATGTCAGAAGACTAAGTGAGAATGAATGCACTATGAATGAGTTGGGTACAGGTACTAACCCCAATTGTGTTGTACCCCATGCAGGCTACTCCACTACAGCCTACACAACACAATATTCTGACAGCATATTGTCAGAATGTGATGTTTGTCTAGCCTGCTGTGGGGTACTCTATAGCGAGTACAGCCCAAATTAGGGTTTGCTATATGTACTCAACTGCCTGCTAGTGAAACCCCTCTTTCCTGTTTCTCGTTTCCTCCTAGGCTTTCGACATGGTATCAGAGCAGGTCGACCCTCCTGGGTCGATCCTGTGGGTGGTCCCGCCCGATGCTTCCGCTGCTGTTCTGCCTATCGCACGCCCTGGGCGATCGATGTCTTCTGCCTGCCGCGCGCTCAGGACGCGCGGTGTTTTTTCTTCCCGCCGCGCGCTCGGGGCGCGCGGCGGTTTTCTGCCCCGTCGACCCGCGCGTCGCCCCCTCCGTCGGCGGTCGCGTCGCCCCCCCGGGAGCCCGTCTCGTCGCCCCGCTGAGGAATGGGTATTCTAACCAAGATACTTATGCTAATATGCTTCAACGATCTCACCAGAGGAATGGGTACTGTTGTGAGTTTGGCCAGATGTGAATGAGTTTGGTTTGGTAAAAATGGGTTCTGTTTTTTTTTTTTTTGCAGCGATTGATTGGTTGACATGCCATGCTAGAGGAGTGAGGGGGGGACAACCGGTTGCGGTATCGTGCGTTGTATGGCCAGAGGTGGGGCGCTGTGAATTTGAGAAGCAACGGGCCGGGTTTGATATGGTAAGTGAAAGGGAGACCGAGAGAGAATGTGAGAGAACAAAGGAGACTGAGGAAGAATGGGGTACTTAGAGTCAGAGGGAGACAGAGGGAGACAGAGGGAGACAGAGGGAGACAGAGGGAGACAGAGGGAGACAGAGGGAGACAGAGGGAGACAGAGGGAGACAGAGGGAGACAGAGGGAGACAGAGGGAGACAGAGGGAGACAGAGGGAGACAGAGGGAGACAGAGGGAGACAGAGGGAGACAGAGGGAGACAGAGGGAGACAGAGGGAGACAGAGGGAGACAGAGGGAGACAGAGGGAGACAGAGGGAGACAGAGGGAGACAGAGGGAGACAGAGGGAGACAGAGGGAGACAGAGGGAGACAGAGGGAGACAGAGGGAGACAGAGGGAGACAGAGGGAGACAGAGGGAGACAGAGGGAGACAGAGGGAGAACGAGGAAGACTGAGGGCGAATGGGTTGGTGTGACTCACTCAATGCACATGAATAGCATTAAAAAGAATGCACGAATGCCTAACCAATTAGTGTTCCAGCTCCCCCCCACACAGATCGATGCTGCTTTACACTCACAGTATCCGTTAGCCACACCACCCACCACAGAGCCTAGCGCATTCACACTCCTATAGAAGCTTCTAGCTAAGCTTCCAGCTAAGCTCCTCCTACTGTCCACCACTCCTCCACCCTCCTCCATCATCGTCCACCACCCTCCTCAATCAGCCTCGTCCACCTCCCTCCTCCATCACTCTTTTCCACCACCCTCCACCACCCTCCACCACCCCTGCCTCCTGCCACTGCCGAGTCAGCTTGCCTCCTGTCCCCGCCGTCTCTGTTCGCCTCTGCTCGTTTCTCCACGTCTGCATTCCCAGCGCTGGCGCCATGCCTTATTGCCCCACTACTAACCCTGGGATGGCTACCTTAGCTCCTACCTGGGACGATATGGTAGCGAACCTTAACTCCTATCCGGCCCTTGCCTTCACAAGCAACGAACCCTTTTTCCGAGCCCACTCAAAAAGCACCCTGGTTTTGCTTCGCTCCCCGTCACTGCAGTAGACTGCTCGCCTCACCCCTTCCATCATCACAGACTGCCCAGCTCCAATCTGAGCCCCTGGCCCTGACTGTCAGTCACCCCTTTCCCTCCACTTGTTCCCACAACAACCTCTTTCCGTGACATTTGAGGCGCCCCAAAAGCCGCTCCCACAACAGGCTCTGCTGTGCCTGCTGTGCCTGCTGTGCCTTTTCAGGCGCCTCAAAGCCGCTCCCTCAACAGTCTCGTTGTTGGCTGTGCTGCTTGAATTCCCCCCCGTTAGATCATCCTGTGAACCTGCCCTGTTAAGACGGTTGGTAGAGTCAGTGTGTTAGTCTGCTGCTGAAACCCTTTCTCAGTCACACGATTGTGTGATTCTCGAGAAACAGTTGACGGATTCTCGAGTGCGCTGCTGAGGGATTCTCGATTCTCGTGCACAGTGCTTGCACGGCGGGTGCAGCTCCGAGCTCCGGTTGAGAAAGAGACTTCCCCCCCCCCCCTCTCAGGCACGCAAAGCTGAAGTCACTACTGAACGACACACCTTCCATGACTCTTCACTTGACTCTCTCCTCTCAAGGTGCGGCTCAAAAGACACAGCAGGTGCAGTTCTCAGCTTGCAGCTGTGGCTCCCGATGACAAATTCTCCTTTCAACTCCTTTCACGCACGTGAGGTTACGGGCCTCCCTTCCCCACCCCCTCCATCCTGACTTTTGAGTCGACTCAAAAGTCAGTTCTCAGCTTGCAGCTGTGGCTCCCGATGACAAACTCTCCTTTCAACTCCTTTCAGGCACGTGAGGTTACGGGCCTCCCTTCCCCAACCTCCCCATTCCATCCCGTCCTGCCCCAGCTCATTCCATCCCATCCCATCCAATCCCATCCCAACCCATCCAATCCCATCCCAACCCCATCCCATCCCATCCCATCCCATTACATCCCGTCTCGTCTCATCCCATCCCATCCCATCCCATCCCATCCCATCCCATCCCATCCCATCCCATCCCATCCCATCCCATCCCATCCCATCCCATCCCAACCCATCCATCCCATCCCCTCTCATCCCATCCCACCTTATCCCATCCCCTCTCGTTCCATCCCACACCATCCCACTGCATCTCACCGCATCCCACTCTCACATCCCCTCCCTCGCATCGACCAGCACAGACCCATTAGCTTCCGCAGTTGGCTTTTGGATTTCCATCACCACCCCCCTTTCTTTTTAATGATCATCTGCCTTGCATTGCTCGTCCCCTTTGCATCAAACACCCCTTTTGCATTGATCGGCCGCTTTCCATTAACCATCCCCTTTACAGTCATCCACAGCTTTGCATCGATCAGCACAGGTATGCCCTCTTTCCAGGCTCTAGAGTCGACTCAAAACGCTCCTCACACCCGTTTCTCAAGGGCGACTTTCGAGGCACCTCAGAAAAGCTCTTCACACCATTCTGGTAGGATGGGGGCAGCAGCCGCGCCATGCTCTGTTCTGGTAAGCCAGGGGCGTGCCACGCTCTGTAGCAGACATATCAGCGCTCTGATAGGCATGCTGCAGCGAGATGAAGCTGTGATGTATCCAGCCGGAGGGCGCCAAGGAGGGGGGACGGCTCAGGAGCTAAGGAAGGGGGGGGGCTAGGGTGGGTACGGGTCAGGAGCTAGAGGGGGCGCTAGAGAGGGGACCGCTCAGCTGCTTTCTAGTCAACCTGGCAGTGGGAGGAGGCCATGAGAGATGCAGCTGGAGGGCTTTAAGGACTGAGTGGTGGACTCAACAGCATTGAGATTCTGGTGTGGTTGAATACGGTGCAGTGCAAGAAAGAAAGGTACCCGGGTGAATGAATGAATGAATGAACGGGGCGTTTATTTTGGTCTCGCCTGCTGCAGAAACAGCTGATCCATAATAGCTCCCCCATTTCCACCAGCACCAGCACCACCTGTACCAGCAGCACCACCACCTTCACAGCCGGCGTTGCTGCTGCCACCAATCGTGTTGCTTCCATGCTGCTGGAGGAATGCCGCTAGCAGCTGCTGTTGCTGCTGTTGGTTCTGCTCACTAAGCGGCAGTTGCTGCTGCAGCTGCAGCAGCTGCACTAACTGCAACTGCTGCAACTGCTGCTGCTGTTGCTGCTGCTGCCGCTGCTGCTGTTGGTGCGGCTGTTGCTGCGGCTGCTGCGGCGATTGCTGGTGCTGCTGTTGCTGTTGTTGCTGCTGCTGGTTCAGGAACGAGTTCTGCTGCAGCTGCAACTGCTGACTGGCCTGCAGCAGGTGAGACTCAGTCAACTGGTGATGCTGAGAAGTTCCCACTTGACTCTGCCCCTGCTGTAGACTCTGCCCCTGCTGTAGACTCTGCCCCTGCTGTAGACTCTGCCCCTGCTGTAGACTCTGCACCCGCTGCCTGGGTGACTGCTGGTGCAGCTGCTGGTGCTGCTGTTGCTGCAAAGCCCCCAAAGAGCCAGCAGTAGGAGCAAACGCCTGGCTGGAAAGCTGCTGCACAATAGTCGGGTTCCCACCTCCACCTTGCCAGTTGCCACCTCCCCCAGCGAGCCCTCCACCAGCCCACGCTCCGGGTGATAATCCTGCTGCTGCAGCTGCTACATTCCCCACACCAACCGCACCACCACCAGCACCACCACCACCAACACTACCAGTACCAGTACCAGTACCAGTACCAGCAGCAGCAGCGCCCTTAGCAGCACTGCCAGCACCACTGACCCCAGTTGAAGACTCTTCAGAGCCGTTCGAATCCCCCCTTCGAGCTCTCTTCCCCTCATTCTCCAACTGCCCTACTCTTTGCCCCTGCATCTGCACCTGCCCCTGCCCCTGCCGTGGCACCTGCCCCTGTACAAGCCCCTGCAGGATAGAACTCGCCTGCCCGAAACCCTGCAGCTGATCGTTACCATGCCCGGAAATTTCCTGTCCAAGCCCTTGCTGCTGCCCGAACATCTGCTGCTGACCCAATTCTTTCTGCCGCATTCCCACCCCCTGCCCTTGCGCCAGCGCTCCCCCTTGCCCTTGCCCCAGCCCTCCCGCTTGCCCCATTCCTCCCTGCCCCTGCCCCAAGCCCCCTCCCTGCCCCTGGCCCCCCTGCCCTCCCTGCCCTTGTCCAAAGCCCCCACTCTGTCCCCCCTGCCCCCCTTGCCCCCCCTGCCCCTGCGCCAGCGCCTGCAGCATCTGTTGACGCTGCTGAGCTTCAAGCTGCCGCTGCAGCGACAGCAAGAGGATGCGCTCTGACATACCCCCACCCGCCCCGGCGCCCGCCCCGCCTGCGTTTGCTACCAGCAGCTCCAGAAGGGCCCTCTGTATGGCTGGTCCCGCCGCTGCTGCCGTTGCTGCTGCTGTTGCTGCTGACGGTCCTGCTGCGCTTCCTCCCCCTCCTCCTCCTCCTCCTCCCCCTCCTCCTCCTCCTCCTCCTCCATCTAACCCTCCTGCTGCTGCTACTGCTCCTTGGCTTCCCAGGGCACTCATAATCTGCTGCTGCTGTTGCTGTTGCTGTTGGCGCTGCATTGATGGTGACCCAAATTGCTGCTGCTGCTGCTGCTGCTGCTGCTGCTGCTGCTGCTGCTGCTGCTGCTGCTGCTGCTGCTGTTGCTGTAACTGGTGTTGCTGCTGCAAAGCACCCACAACAGCCGGAGGAATCCCCAGCGACTGCAGCTGCTGCAAAGTGGTCCCATCCAACCCACCCACATGCCCTCTCACCCCACCAACACCACCGCCAACAATGCCAGCATCAGCACCTCCACCAACTCCTCCCGGCCCTTCCAGCAGCCCACCAAACGACCCATCACCAACCCCACCCCCACCTACCCCTGCCTGGGGCCCCACAATCCCCCCTGCCGCACCTCCTCCCACCAACCCCCCTCCTCCCGCACCACCACTCCCAGGCACCACCACCTGCACCTGCCTCCCCAACCCTTGGCCGCCTACAGAGCTCCCAGCAGCATTAGAAGCATTGAATCCTGAACCCTGAACCCACCCAGCCACCCCTGCCGCACCCACATCCCCCCCACCCCTCTCCCTCGCCTCATTTATCGCCTTCTCCACCCCAACATACCCAGGCAACGGCTGCCATTCCGCCAGGGCCGGGTGGGGAAAGTTAGTCCGTGCCTTGGGCCCTCGTAGCTTCACAGCGGCTCGGTCGTACGCTCTTGCCGCTTCTTCCAGGGTGTTGAACGTGCCTAGCCACACGCGGGAGCGCTTCTTAGGGTATCGAATCTCGGCCACCCACCGGCCCTCGTGCCGCTGCCGCACCCCCCGGAACAGCTTCGGGTCGCCGCCGCCGCAGCTGGACGCAGGCTTGGCGCTGGTCGCCGCGTTCCCCGAGTCAGGCTCGGCAGGCTGGGCCGTTCCCGAGCCTCCGGAGAGGGATTTGGAGTCGGAATTCGATTTGAGGTCGTTGGGGGATTGGATGGGGTTACCACCTGCTGTGGGGAGCAGAGCCTGGGGTGGAACAGACAGGGCGTTGGTGTTGCCTTCTCGAACGACCAGGGCTCTTGATGCACCACCTGCTGGTGACGCCGATGCTGCTGCCGCTGCTGACGCCGCTGGCAACGCCGGCAGGGCCGGTCTTGCTGCCGATGCTGCAGCCGCTGCTCGTGCTGCTGCTGGAGTTGCCGGTGCTGCTAGTGCTGCTGGTGCTATGGATCCGGAACCTCTTTCCATCTCCCCTGCGGGGGAAGAGGCCCACCCAGAGGCGCCTACAGAGCCTGCAGTCATGTGGTTGTGATTTTGAGAGAGGAAGTTGAGGGCTATGGAGGGGGATTGATCGAGTGAGTGGTCCAGAATGGGCGCGGATGCGAGCAGACCTGCAGCGGGGTTTCCTGCTTGCTCCTCCATACCTGGGTTTCTTGAGAACCACTGGTACTGCTGCTGCTGCTGCTGCTGCTCTTGCTGCTGCTGCTGTTGCTGCTGCTTCTGCTGCTGCTGCTGCTGCTGCTGCTGCTGCTGCTGCTGCTGCTGCTGCTGCTGCTGCTGCTGCTGCTGCTGCTGCTGCTGCTGCTGCTGCTGCTGCTGCTGCTGCTGCTGCTGCTGCTGCTGCTGCTGCTGCTGCTGCTGCTGCTGCTGCTGCTGCTGCTGCTGCTGCGGCTGTTGCTGTTGGAGCTGCTGTTGCTGCTGCGTTTGCTCGACCAGGTCTGCTCCTACCCTCAGCCCAGCCTCCCCCTCCAACTGCTGATGACCCAGCAGGTGACCAAACAGCTGCGGCTGCACCTCCTGCCGCCATTGCTGCTCCTCCGCTTCCCTCCACTGCTGCTCCTCCGTTCCCTTCCATTGCTGCTCCTCCGCCTGCTGCTGGGTGTGCTGCAGCAGGTGCCATTGGTTGTTCCATGGGCCCTCGTTGTCCGCCATTGCGCCACGAAGAAGTGGGGGGATCTAGAACTTCTGCAAAAAGTAACAAATGATGGGAAGGCGAGAAAACGTGGGGGGATAATCGAGCATGAAATAGTTGAAACGGAGTGATGAGAGGTGGTGGGGCGCACGAGAGCAGGTGGTGCTAGGCGGTAGCTTCTGTCAACACATTCGTGGTTGAAGACTGAAGAAACAGCGTGGGGGGGATTGCATAGTAAAGAAAGATGATTAGAGAAGGCCTTGGATTATTCCTGATCCAATGCAAGTATTTGTCGGTGACGAGGAGAGGCAGCATTGCAAGTGGAGGCCTGGGCATTCACAGTGGAGGAGGAGGAGGAGGAGGAGGAGGAGGAGGAGGAGGAGGAGGAGGAGGAGGAGGAGGAGGAGGAGGAGGAGGAGGAGGAGGAGGAGGAGGAGGAGGAGGAGGAGGAGGTGGAGGTGGAGTAGGCGGAGGAGGAGGAGGAGGAGGAGGAGGAGGAGGAGGAGGAGGAGGAGGAGGAGGAGGAGGAGGAGGAGGAGGAGGCGGAGGAGGAGGAGGAGGAGGAGGAGGAGGAGGAGGAGGAGGAGGAGGAGGAGGAGGAGGAGGAGGAGGAGGAGGAGGAGGAGGAGGGGACGAGGAGGAGGAGGAGGAGGAGGAGGCGGAGGAGGAGGGGGAGGAGGAAGAGGAGAGAATGCGAGGGGATATTATTAAATTGGTATATTTAAAGATTTGGTTGAGGGTTGCAATTCAGGCAACACAGGTAGCGGTGGTGGATGCGCAGGCAAAGCGAGGGGAAAAGCATCAAGAACACATGTCCTGAAATTTATGAGTGGAGCCAGGAGTGTTTGGTTGGGGCTTCAGTCAACAAAAGGTAGTGGTGAGGGACGTGGAGAGGCATTGCCATGTGAATAACATCAAGAGGGCATGGTCAGGAATTTATGGATGGAGCCCAGGAGTGAGCGAGGCCTGAGTCTCTGTCAACACTGTTATTGGATGTCACGGCGAGGCCAGGTGAGGGGATGACACTGAGCAAGCATAACAGGTGGAGGAAGAGAGAAGTGGTTAGAGGAGGCTCAGGATTTCTGTCAACACAGGTGGTGGATGTGCGCGGATGACGCGAGGAATGAATGCCGGGTTTCTGTCAGCAATTGGAGAGGTCAAAGCGAGGCGATGTGAGGGGGATGACTTCAAGGAGGCGTGACGGATGGAGGTAAGGGGTGGTTAGGGCTTCTGCGGACTCAGGTAATGGTGGCAGTCAGGGAGATGGGGAAGGTGGGGAGAATGGCATGAAAAAGGCATGATGAGAGGAAGTGGCAGGAGTGGATTGTTGAGATCTGGGGGCTTCTGTCAACGTAGGTAGAGATGGGGGACAAGAGGCAAATGGCACGAAAAATACATGATGAGAGATAAGAGGCAGGAGTGGACACTGGAGGTCTGGGGCTTCTGTCGGGGACAAGAGGCAATTGCATGAAAAATGCATAATGAGATGTAGCAACAGGAATGGATAGTGGCTGGGGGCTTCTGTCAATGTGGGTGGTGGGGATCAAGTGGAAACATTGCCTTAAGCCTTAACAAAAAAAAAAACAAAAAGAGGTGGAAGGGAGGGTTGGGGGCCGCAGCGTTGGAGGAATGGTAGAAGAGTTTGGATCGTTACCCACACATGTAAGAACTGAAGGACACCACAATGTGGGGCCCCGGGGGAGGAAGGGCGGATAGCAGAAGGGGCGACACCGAATCATGGTAACAGGTGTGGGGACGTATGGACATTTGAAATATATAAAATAGAATTTTATGTATTTCACATAAAGGCAAAAAAAAAAGTTTTAAGGGCAGGGAAAAAATAGGGGGGCTGCTTGTGACTAGAGCAGCGACTCGCTGAATAGATCCGCGTTTCATACGATGATTAAAGACGGGGGTCAGAAGCAGGAGACTGGATCCTGATCCAATGAAATTCTTGTTGATTTTTTTTTTTTTTTGTCAGTCGGAAATTGTTGGTCGCAAAAAAGCGGGAAGATGGAGCAAGGGGCTACCAGTTTATTCCGCGTAGCAGCGCATTTTTCTGCAAACGGTGGGACGGCTTGATTTCGTCTCTCTGTTCATAACTAATCGATAAAAGCGTTTTTTTCTTCATTGATAAAATCGATCAGCCACTCGTCTGAACATGTCGACCTGTCGAACGTACTTGTGAGCGGATGTCCAGCAGAGCTAGTTAAGATTGAAGCCGTTTACTACAAGTAGTAGGCTGGAGCACAAGCATGGATCCGAGACGAAGAAACACAAAAATGAAAGTGGCGCGGCTGAGACTTTGAAGCGCCGTTGTCCGACGAAAGTTGTCAACGATCTGGCGGGTGCTTGTGCGTGAACTTCCAAGCCAATCGCTACTCCGAAGCGAAGGAACGGAGGTGCATGAATAAGAAAGATTGGGGAAGATTGGGGTTGCAGAGGATGGCTGCTGATGTGTTGGTGTGCTGGCAGTCACTTATCCCCGAGCGCAACAATGATATTGGTTGGACTTGAAATCAGAGCGGCAAGGAGATGGGGTTTTCAATAAACCTAGAAATTGGACAGTGGCAGCTGTGTGGCAGAAGATGGATGGCGGAAGTTGGAGTTGAGGGATGCTGGGGGAGGACAGGTGTCCGTTGTGGGGGGAGGAAGGCGCGGGGGGGCAAGCGAAGGCAGGAGGATGAGTTGGGAAAAGACAAGAGTTTGACTGCTCATCCCTCGTGAGTTTCCATCATCGCCTGAGATCTACGGACAACACCGCCCTTGTCTTCGAAATCCAGACTGAGAAGGCCATGGTGGTGTTGCGCCAGATTTTTCATCATCCACCCACCTACACATCCCATCTTACGTGTATCAAGTGTTTGCTAAATACCATTTGCTGTAACATTTATCTGCCCAGATTAATACGAATATTCGCATCGCAACCTACATTTTCAAGGATACACTGCATGAACAGTCAGCAACAAGTTGGCTCACGCCTGCTTCTCTGACAGATTCGGATGGCAAGAGTGTCGGTGAGTTCCACCAGTATTCGACGACAGGTGGGCCACAAACCAAATGCATCAGGGGCTTGGAGCAGCAGGTTGCAAACAGGACATGCCATGCCATGCCAGCGGTTGGTTCCGCGGGGCGCTTGGATACAGTATTTCAGAATTGTGTGGAGGGGAGGGGACGTGTTTCTAATTTCCGTTGGCTGACCGCCCCTGCCCTTTTCGAGTCTCGGCCTGTCAGTGTGTGTAGCATACAAAATATGATCGAGGTCGAGCCAAGAAGAACACCTGCTGGTGTGAGCCCCCTTTCACAAGTCCTTGGTGGGAGACGCGTGGTCGCCTGCCAGCACTTACAGGAGGGTTCCCATAGGTTCAACCCCCATCTGTGAACAAAAAATCTACGTTTCAGCTCCCCTGGAGTATGACTTAGTGCAGTTACGACGTGTTGCGACCCAACAGGGTTGGGTCGGGTCGGGTCGACCAGGTCGGCTAGACCCGACCCGACCCAACCCAACCGAATGGCGACTCGAGAAAACAAGGAATTTCCCGTCGCCTTCCTTGCAAATTCGAAGTAAGGAGAATGCACTTGCTGCGCGGGTTGGAAGGTGGGCTGGGCAATGTTTGGCGATATCCACAACGGCGCCAACTATGATATACTCAAACCGCGATATTACCGGGTCACTTTTTGTTAGGCGAGATACAAGCGACATCCGAGCGAGGACCACAGAGTTCGCAGGCTCGGGTAACCTGCTCCAGCTCGGTTGGGTTCGGTTCGGTCGACCGGGTTGACCCGACCTGGTCGACTCGGGTCGACCCAACCCAACCGGGTTGGGTTGGGTAGACCCGCGACGCAGCCTTCCGAGAAATTCAGGATCGGGGGTTGGTCGACCCGACCCATGTGGGTCGCAACACGTCGATGTTTATTTAGATTAGTTAGGATGTGGCCCAGACCGCCCCGGATTGTCTCGATCAGAGGCGATCATTAACTTCTAGGAAGCCCCGAGGCCAATTTTAGGCAATCAGGGCCAAAACTCAATCAATTAATTGATCGCCCCAGCTCAATCAACCGCCTCAAACACCCCAATCAATCACAATCACACAGAATCAGTCACGATCACTTGGTTGCATGTGGTCGGGGATCTTGGCGACGCTTGTGAAAACATTACAATGTCTCGTTAAGCTCGTCAAGCCTTTGAAGTGTAATTTACGACATTACATGGAAACGATAAATTCACTGTGTCTTCGTTCTCCCCAAAATTGGGATGAAAGAATAAGGAAATGCTGACATGCTTGCGAGGTAGCTGTCTTGAATTTTCTAGGAATATCAGCACTGATCGAGCGGCGCGAGCAATGCACTCAAAAGCAACCCGATCATATCAGACCCGATCAGATCAGCGCCGATCAGAGGCGGTCTGGGCCACGTCCTTAGGACGTGGGCTCAATCGACCTTGATCAGCTCGATCAAAGGCAATCAAGAACTTCTAGGAAGTCGGATAGCCAATTTCACGCCATCAGGGGCAATCAGCTGATCGCTCCAACTCGATCAACCGCCTTTAACAGCCCGATCAATCACCATCAGAAACAATCAGTCCCGATCGCTTGATTACATGTGATCGGGGACCTCAGCGACGCATGCGACATGTTACACACTTAACGTAAGGTCTCGAAATTCCTTCGCTCATATATACAGACCGACGAGAACTATGTTATAACCCTCGCAAAGGTTTTATAGCGAACATTGTGTGCATTGCGATATTGCAACGCTACCACGATACATTATTTCCTTAGACTCGCCAAGTTGGGTAGCAACTACTAGGTAATGATATCATGCTCGTCATGCAGGCGCGCAGAGCTCTCGAGGAAAATCAGGTCTGATCGGGCGGCGCGAGCAAAGCGATCACAAGCGATCCGATCCAATCCAAACCTAACCGACCCAATCTGATCGAAGTCCATTGGGCCCACGTCAATTAGAAATTGATGTTAAGGGCGGCGGTGGTACAATGAGGTCCACACACACCACACACACTTGGACGCCAAGTTGCGTTTGCGGATTCTGGAAAACGCCCTCCTTTCTCGACGTGGTTTTGGGACAAGCTGGGCCCTGTAAATTTCCTATGTGTGTGCAACATTACCCAGGTCCCAGCTGAACGCGTTTGATACCCAAGTTGCTCACTCGGTGAGGGCGCCATGGACCGAGAAGTCGTCACTTGGCTCTGCATGCAACGGTGGAAAGATGCCAGGTGCGGTCGGGTGCGCCCACATTTCCGGCAAACGCGGTGCCGCGGCGTACCACAAACACGTCACTCGCCGATTTGGGCGTGATTCTCTCATCCACCCTCGCCGCCATCCCACCCCGGGGTCATTCCCCCAGCTGTACAAGATGGGCACGCGCGAAAAGGGTTTGGGTTCGCACCTGTTTTTGCAGCATTGCCCCGTCCACCCAGACTTGGAGCAGTGCTTGGGGGGACTTGCACGAAGGGCCAGGCTCGGACCTCTGCAGGGCCGAAACGTCACCTTTCGGTAAGCCTGGGCACCGACGAGAAGCTTCCCCAAAACTAGGGGGTAATCTTTCGAGTTGATGAATCATACTATCATGGAGCATGATTGTCACACCTAAATGCTGATACAATATGGCACCTTTTGTATTTTAATTACACGTTGTAGAATATCAACGTTTTATAACATAGAAATTGGACTCTGTTGTTATAATAATCGCTAATTAAGTCTTGAGAGAAGCCCATGTGCACATGAATGATGGATGATGGATTGGGACACATACTTTCTATGATAATAAATTGATTGTCAGTGCGTATTCACTGTGAAAACT